CACACACACACACACACACACACACACACACACACACACACACACACACACACACACACACACACACACACACACACACACACACACACACACACACACACACACACACAGGACCTTTATTTATTTAATTCACTCTTTGAACACCCCAGAGTACTTGAAATATCTGGGCTCACACTGAATGGCCCCGGGCTGAGAGTTGCTCTGCAGCAGGGAGATACTGGAGCAGAAGTTTGGACTGCAGCAGGAAGCAGGACATTTCCTGCTCTGCTGCTCTCTCTGAGGCGGGGGGACAACAATGCACTGGCACTCTGTGTATTCTTGTTTAGTTGGCCCTCAGTTGAATACTGGAGATTAAACTGATAGAAAAGTGGCAACACAAAATATAACAGCTAGAGCTCAGCACATTGACAGTTAACAATCTGAGAGAAAAACAACCAAAAAAACACACATTGGGAAAACAGTGAATCACTGTTGTCTTTTATCTTGCATGAGGAGAATCAAAACGACAGCTTCTCAAGCTCACGCTAGGCTATTTACATTTTCATCCCACACTAAACTGAAAGCCTATGGACATCCCTGAATTGTAGTTTTGTTGGTGCCTGCAAAAAGCATCTTCACTCTGAATTTAAATGCACTTTCTCAGATATGGACTTTCAACAGATAAATAATAAACAGAAGCAAACAGTCACTGCATACATTTTGATCATGAAGAGTGCTGAGATGAGCATAGAATAAAGAATGTCTCTGATTGGGCCTACTGCTCTGAACATGCTCTGTTTAGCATAATGATTCTCAATCAGGTTGTTGTTGCACAAAAAAGGTCTGGCTTTTTGGAAGTGTAGCCAAAAGCTGCACAATCCCAGCAACACACACACACACACACACACACACACACACACACACACACACACACACACACACACACACACACACACACACACACACACACACACACACACACACACACACACACACACACACACACACACACACACACACACACACACACACACACTAAGCAAAGATCAGAGTAGAGGCCGTTACTGTCCCTTCATTTTAACACCTTTGCTGCTTAGGAAAACACACCATGAAAAAACAGACTCAATTAAACCATTGATTTCAAAAATAAATGGTGGGCCCCCAAGGGTTGTAGACTAACAAGACTGCATGTATGAATGCAGATGGAGTCTTCCTGTATTAAACGTGTTATGTTACCTCTTCTGTACTGCAGTTTATACCTGTACACCCTGAGTGATGCAGGGAGACGAACACTCACATCAGACCCGGCGCCGAGGGAGGGCCAGGGAGGAACAGGCCTTCATTGTAACAGTCGCCGGTGTACTGTGTATGTGGGGAGTGTTGCAGTAGAACATTCCACTGTAGCGCCGGTACCTTAATGGGAAACCCTACATGTTTGAGCACCCTCTATGAAACGTCAAGCTACCCCACAGCACCCCCAAAAAGAAAATCTCTGGCGTCGACACTGGCCGCAGTACATGACGGTTTTGTGTGCCCTCCCATGAAAATCATATGCCCTCTCTGTAGATTTGTTCTGGCGCCGGGTCTGACTCACATTCCCACTTCTGGCAGTTTAAAGTCACCAATTTACCTAACATGCATGTCTTTGGAGAACAGGCAAACTCCACCCAAAATATATAAAGATACATACATACAAGAGATCATCCCAACATGTTAAAGTTAAACCAGTTTGTTCAATGCATGACTCAGCTTCCTCAATCTCCTCCCACGTCAAAATGTATTTACAGCCAATTATAATAGATGGCACCTTTAGGGGGTCTGAAAAGGAAACAGCTCTGTTGGTCTCACCGGAGTCAGGAAGTTAAAGCAGCAGTGAGACGAGCTGTTGGATCAGGTTAATGAGATTTCACAGCAATAGTTCCCAGAGATAGCTGAGTGCTTCAGTCCCACGCCTCAGAAACACGTCATCCCCCTCTGGCCCAGCAGTCAATCCTGTCAGATCACCCCCCCTCTGCTCTACTCACAAGCTCACCAATTGGCTAATTAGGAGTAACAATTACTAAAGGGTAAGGAGACTGCGAGACCAGTCTCATTCACATCATGATCATATTGAAATGGGATTGACATCTTCTGATTTAACAGGCAACTTTTCCTAATTAGGCAAGAAGAACCTACAGTTTTAAGTGCTGGTGAAAAGTCACCTTTTGTGATGGCAATAAATGCAATTATGTGTTGGTTCTACTGCCTAACTGATCATAAACAGTTTATTTAGTGGGACTCACACACACAAATACAGTGCTCCTGAGTGTTTTTTAAATATGTTGCTTTATAATGTAATATTTTAGACAGGTATTAAACTTTTCTTAAACTTGCCAATCAAAACCGTGCTCTTGTATGGGGGTTTAAAATGATCATTAATGCTGTGGAAGAATCTTTAGGTCTGTCATCTACCAAGAAATCTTTCGAAAAAAACGATTACATTTTGCAATGTTTTCATCACATTACAGACCAATGAGTGCATGTCATATTTGAATGCTGGAAGTCTAGAAAGAAGGATCCAAAGTCTAAAAGGAGCAGCAGTGGTTAGATTCTATCCCTTGCTAAGATAACAAAGCACATACATTTAATTGTGTGTACTTTACAATACAAGCCAGCGTTCACCCATGCACACACACTTTCACACTCTGGTGGCAGAGGCTACCAAACAAGGGCCGTTTCTCAATCGCGAGTACGCTTGCTTGGTAGCACAGCCGAGCTGAGCATCTTGCTTCAGAAGCAAGGCAAGAATACTTCCTGGCATTCGGAAAACAAAGAGTGGAACAGGCTAGCAAGTGTGCAGGTGTGCGTCATATGAGAGGCCCCGCCTTACATCTTCCGCCACAGATTTGGGGAAATTGGTCCATGCGCAAAGCATTGTGGGGATTTTAAGGACGCGAAGTCTACCCATGTGCAGCCTCGAAATTTCCCCCAAACCAAGGACGCGGCCTCGGTGGAATTCCAAGTATGCTGGAGATTGGAACAGTCCTTCTGCGGCACTCGATGACGTAGCATCCTTGAAATATTGGCTTGGAAGCCAATATCCTCGCGATTGAGAAACGGCCAAGGTGTCACCTGCTCTTCAGGAGCAATATGCTTTACACTCACACTGTGCCATCAGGAGCAGAGAGGTGCAGTATCTTGCAAAAGGTGATAAACAATATCATATCTGTGAATGCTTTTCACTATACTTCTTAGAAATAATTATCATAAATGGGATTTGGCAGGTTAGGCTTGCAAAAAAGGGCAAATTGGAATCAGACCACAATTAAATAATTGCATCTCTAGTGCTTATACACCTGTATGTACCTTTTTCTTTCATACTCAAAATCTCAAGATTTGATAGATAATTTGTATTGATAATGGAATTGGAATTGATGAAATCTTACTCCCGTTATACAGTACGATCCATTCCATCCAATCCAAGTGTCAGTCGATACAGTTTTAATCTGGGGAAACTTTGATGTAGTCTTAAATACATAAATGTACTATTATATATATGTCCTGATCTCACAAGTTAGGAATATGCCATGTTGTTTTCTGTCACTACATTGTTTCTTTAAAAAAAGTGTCACTATGTCATTTAGCTTTTCATTTGTGTCCAGGATCTTTAAGGTTAAACTGCTGTATCACAAGGTAGTACAAGATTATTCATAACACTTTTAAGAGTAACAGTCCTTGTTCTTAGGGAATGTGTACTGGTTAATACCTTTTCTGTTTCTATCCTGCAAACCTCTGTCAGATCCTCTGAGTGTACTGCGTCCTCAGGTTAGCAGTGTGGACATCTGAGACAGAGCTGAACAATGTGCTCTCTCGCTCTCAAAGGTTCATGTGTTCTAGAAATGAGATATCACTCAAACCAGAGTGGGCAATGTCATTAGATTGTTGGAAATCAAGAATGTTTTTATACCGGTGCCGGGACATTCTGCTAAATGCTGCACAGATGAAGAGCACATGGGCTCCAAATCTAAATATATCAACACAACTCAACAAGAAGATAATCCAAACTAAACAACATCTCGTTCAATGCTGATGTCAAAGTCTCCGCACTGAAAAAACTGAAACGTTGACTTTAATTAAATGTATTATGTCAAGAAATTACACATGATTGAATCAGGATATTTGAAAGCAATAATATTAGGTTTAAATAAAAATCTACTTAATATTATTGCTTTCATCTAACCTAATACAATTATTATCCCAAATAATGTGTCTGGTATAAGAAACAGCTTTCTCTGTTTAAAACAAAAGAACAATGGTGTCCAACAACAGTCACTGCTACCCAGCATGCTCAGTAATGTATGCACAAGCATGTAGCATTTCATTAATAGGAGCCAGTCAATGTCCTCTCTCCCTGCTTATCTCCTTACAGACAGGTCAGTCACACTTGTGTCATATTAACATTTCAATTCCCAGATTCCCGCTTCAACACAAAGGACAGCACAGATGGAAACACAAAAGCTCTGAATTTTAAATGTAACTCGTTATGAATGCAAACATCTTGCCTGATTAAGCATTGACACAATGGGATACAGAAATAGCAGCGGACACTTTGTGTCCTTTATTCTTCAGTAAGGAATAATGGCATAAATGCCATTGAGCATGAACAATGCTATTATCTCAATTTTGGACACAATGACCACGGCATGCTTGTAAATGCATTATGCTCCACACTGTTCTCTGTTTTAATCCCGTCATTCAAAGAGCCTCCAGAACATTTACATTCATCCTATTATCCTAATTAATTAGTCCAATAACAACAGGGTCAGTTTACTTTCCTGCGAACAATTACGTTGTAATGATGATTTGGAAACAGGTAATGATGGGTAATCAGTGAAGCGAGACATCTACCAGGGGTCAAACAAAGTCAAAGATGGAGCGATAAACACAGAGGGGTGAGGGGGGGAGAGAGAGGCAGCAGGAAGGACGGAGAGGAAAATGTGTATGCAGCAGAAACGGTTCTGAGGCGTATAAGAAGAAGTTACCTGAGGACGAGATGAGCTTCCAGCTGATGGAGGGCTCTGGTTTCCCGCTGGCTTGGCACATCAGGGTGACGTTGGAGCCTTCATTTACCACAATATGTTTTGACAGGTTGATGATTTTTGGTGGTACTGTGAAAACAGATAACATATGTTAACATTTAATAAATGGTCATGGGCAATAACATTTATTAGGGCCTGAGCACGAAGTGTGCGAAGACCTATTGTTATTGGTAGAATTCTTATTATTATTTTCCTTGCTCTGTGCTTTGGACCTGTTTTTGAGGGGGTTCCCACACTGTTGACGTAGCGACATTTGGCAACGCCGCCAGGACGGGTGAAAATTGTTACATTCTGGATTCCATGGTTGCAAAATTTCCGACATGCTCTCTAGCGCCACCTGTCAAAATTCAGTTTTTGAAAAATTTACATAGTCGCAGCGTAAATCGGATGGACCTGAAATTTTGCAGACTTATCCGGGTGGAGCAGCCCTACATATTATCCTCTCATATCCCTAAGCTCCGCCTACTTTGATTTTTTTTAAATTAGCATAATGTGAAAAACAGTGAAATATTAACTACAATTTCAATTTGTTGCTTTTCAACACCAAACTTAGTGTACAGCATCAGTGGAGGGTCAGACACACTACCGTAGAATATGATCACGACGTGTGGAAAAATGTGCCCGACATCAATCGCAACGTATTAGCAAAAAGGTGTGGCTTAGACATAAATGCTCCTAATTCATCCGCAATGTATCCAAATATCACAGATTTCGGTGGAAAGGTTCAGTCTGTCTTGGGGAATAGGCACAAAAAAGCATGTTCATTTCGGACAATAGGGGGCGCCAAAAGCACAACAAATTTATACCTGAAGATCCGATAGACGAAATAAATATATTTTGTCATACACATACTGGCAGGATGAGTATCAACTGAGATTTAAAGGGGCGCAACCAATGACGGAAGTGGGCGTGACCTATTCAGCTTTATGTCGAAATCGAAGGGTTAAAAACCATTACCGATCCATAAGTAGCGGGAAAATACAGTTACGGCCTTTAAACTCGGAACACACGTCACAGCCCACGGCCTTCTCCAGACTGTCCAAAAACATCGTGCGTTTTTGCAAATACGGCTCAGTAGCGCCCCCTATTGTGCGGTAGTGACATATAGTTTCTTTGAGCGACCCGAGTCTTGGCACAGACATGCCTCATGGAATTGCCGACATATTTCAAAATGGCTTCCATTAGCCCCTCCCCCCATAAAGTCGGCCATTTTGGAAAATGTGCGTTTTAGGCGCTTTTGCAAACTATTGTCGTTGGGAAATGACCGGAAAAATTCCAATCCAGCACAAGTTCAGCCCATATCCAATGTGATGCTAAATTCAGAAACGCATTGTCGACCGCACACACGGGGTGCTCGTAAGCTAACGGAGAATGTGGCATGTTCGACGATTTAAATAGCACAAATTCGCTAAAATGACCTTCGGACGTGAAACTTGGGACAGACGTCACAGCCCAGGACCTTTTCCAGAATGTACAATAAAATCGTGCGTTTTGTGAAATCAGCTCAGTAGCGCCCCCTATTGTGCGGTAGTCACATATAGTTTCTCCCAGCGACCCGAGTCTTGGCGCAGACATGCCTCATGGAATTGTCGACATATTTCAAAATGGCTTCCATTAGCCCCTCCCCCCAAAAAGTCGGCCATTTTGGAAAATGTGCGTTTTAAGCGCGTTTTTGCGAACTCCTCCTAGGGAAATGATCGGAAAAATTCAATTCCAGCACAAGTTCAGCCCATATCCAATGTGATGCTAAATTGCGTATGAATAGTCGACCGCTCAAACGAGGTGCTCGTAAGCTAACGGAGAATGTGCCATTTTCGACGATTTCAATGGCACAAATTCCCTAAAATGAGCTTCGGACGTGAAACTTGGGACACACATCACCGCCCACGACCTTTTCCAGACTGTACAATAAAATCGTGCGTTTTGTGAAATCAGCTCAGTAGCGCCCCCTATTGTGCGGTATTCACATATAGTTTCTCCCAACTACCCGAATGTTGGCACAGACGTTCCTCATGGAATTGCGGATATATTTCAAAATGGCTTCCATTAGCCCCTCCCCCCAAAAACTCGGCCATTTTGGAAAATGTGCGTTTTAAGCGCGTTTTTGGGAACTCCTCCTAGGGAAATGATCGGAAAAATTCAATTCCAGCACAAGTTCAGCCCATATCCAATGTGATGCTAAATTGCGTATGAATAGTCGACCGCTCAAACGGGGTGCTCGTAAGCTAACGGAGAATGTGCCATGTTCGACGATTTCAATGGCACAAATTCGCTAAAATGAGCTTCGGACGTGAAACTTGGGACACCCGTCACCGCCCACCACCTTTTCCAGAATGTACAATAAAATCGTGCGTTTTGTGAAATCAGCTCAGTAGCGCCCCCTATTGTGCGGTATTCACATATAGTTTCTCCCAACTACGCGAATGTTGGCACAGACGTTCCTCATGGAATTGCGGACATATTTCCAAATGGCTTCCATTAGCCCCGCCCCCCAAAAAGTTGCCCATTTTGAGAAGTGGCCGTTATTCATGCATTTTAACCACATTTTTGCTCACACCTCCTAGGGAAATGATCGGGAAAATTCCACTCCAGGACACGTTCAGCCCATATCCAACATCATGCTAAATGGCGAATAAAATAGTTGCTAGCTCAATCGGGGCGGACGTTAGCTAACAGAGAATGTACCATTTTGGACGAGGATTAGGGTTAGGGTTAGGGTTAGGGGTTACTCCAAACTACTCGCATATAGTTTTCCCAATATTCACCACACGCTGTATACACATTGCTCTTATGATTGCACACATATTTTAAATTGCTTTTCATTAGCCCCGCCCCCCAGAAAAATGGCCATTTGGAAAGATGGCCGTTTTTCATGCATTTTCTGCACATTTATGCACACTGCTCTTGGGGAAATTATCGTAAAAATTCCACTCCAGGACCAGTTGAGCCCATATCCACAGCCATGCTAAATTGTGAATAAAAAAGTTGCTAACTCAATCGGGGCGGTCGTAAACGAACAGAGAATGCACCATTTTTGACGAGGGTTAGGGTTAGGGTTAGGGGTTAGTCACTCATCGCATATAGTTTTCCCCATATTCATGACACGCTGTATACACATTGCTATTATCATGGCACACATTTTTCAAAAGCCGTTTCATTAGCCCCGCCCCCCAGAAAAATGGCAATTTGGAAAGATGGCCGTTTTTCATGCATTTTCTGCACATTTTTGCACACTGCTCTTGGGGAAATGATCGTAAAAATTCCACTCCAGGACCAGTTGAGCCCATATCCAATGTGATGCTAAATTGCGAATGAATAGTTGCTAGCTCAATCGGGGTGGACGTAAGCTAACGGAGAATGTGCCATTTTTGACGAGGGTTAGGGTTAGGGTTAGGGTTAGGGCTTAGTCACTCATCGCATATAGTTTTCCCCATATTCATGACACGCTGTATACACATTGCTATTATCATGGCACACATTTTTCAAAAGCCGTTTCATTAGCCCCGCCCCCCAGAAAAATGGCAATTTGGAAAGATGGCCGTTTTTCATGCATTTTCTGCACACTGCTCTTAGGGAAATGATCGGACAAATTCCAGTCAAGGACAAATTATGCCCATATCCAACATCATGCTGAATTGGGAATGAAGTAGTTGCTAGCTCAATCGGGGCGGTCGTAAGCTAACAGAGAAGATACCATTTTTGACCATTTACACTATTTGGTTTCATGCAAAATATCAACTGTTTATTTGGAGATGTCTACTAAAGCATACAAATACAGTGTGTCATGTCGGCCTGTTACTTATATTACTGAGTGATATATATTATACGCACTCTTCTGCTTTCCGCACTGGCCTCGGCAGCTGTTGTCGCTGTAAATGTCGGCTCACAATTAAAGCAGTTGTATTAAAAATATACATGGCCTAATATCCGGAGGAGGTGCGTTTCTTGAGTAAATAAACGGTAAAGGCCAGAAAGTCTGCACAACCCACTGCACCACGCGTCACGGTTACTGCTCCTCCAGACAGCCTCGGCGATAATCGATCCTCGACGAGCCTTTACGGAAATTCCGTTTCCTTCCAGGCGGCGCGCCCACATCCGTTTCCGGGTCGCTGCCGGAGGACCTGGGACTCCGGGCCGCAAACGTTTGACAAACGGCTCATTTCGGCGGACTCGCGCGCTGCCGCCGGACGCCGGGACGACCGGCGACACTCCCCTGCGGGCGCTCGGAGGCGAAGGCCCGCCCACAACTGCGTGCACGTCTGTGACCGCAGTTTTAATTTTATTTTGTTGTTTAATCCTAATGTAAGGAAGTTGCTGAGGTAACATTTGAAAGTCTGCAGGCTGACTGAAATGCTGCTTTCAACGTATGAAGGTAAGTGGAAATGGGTCTAAAAACTTTCCTAAAGAGCTTTACTTTTTTTATATTGTGTCATGTAACACAGAAACAGTTTTAAAGCATTGTACACAGTTAAGGTGGAGACTGACAAAGGCCAATTAGTATCAACACATTGTAAACACTTAACCCAGTTGAATTATTTTTGTATTGTAGTGTAGGCACGGCACATCTCCTATAATGAACATTATACATCTTAATTTCACACACTGCAACTAGTATTTGGCTATGTGAATGACTTTTTAAAGATTATTAAGCCCATTTTCCTCTCTCCTGTAGTGTGTTCTATAGTTTAATCTATTGGCTAGCACTCCAACACTTTGTAAATGATAAGGGGCGGGACATCTCTATGTGATTAACCAATCACAACTAGGGTGACCAGGTGCCAACAAGCCACAAGTGGGACAGAGAGTATGTTTGTGTGGGACAATGTGGGACATGTAAATGCAATGTTAATATTTCAATATAATGTCCATATCACCCTAAAAGGTGGCTTATAAATAACAATGCTTTGATATAGTTTGCACACACAGCACAGGTAAAGGAAATTGATTGAATTCATGGATTTATTTTCAACAACTGTGAACAATATAACAAAAAACAAATTGACAACTAACCTACAGTTTTTTTCAGTTGCTAACACACTAAAATGACATGATTATTTAAACAGACACTC